TGTTGGGATATGACGAAATATGAGTTTTTACGTTCCAAACGAAACTATTCAAGTACAAGGTTTTCGACACGTGCGATCGGAATTTGATCGTGCAAGATGTCGGGATTTGACGCAAGTATGCCGGACGCAAGTCTGTCGGACAATCTGTATCCACACAAACGGGAAAAGATCCTGTACAAGTGGAATATTGATGTTGTGTACGATGCAGTAGGGAATAATGCAAGATATCCCAAAGTACTGCATTCAACACAGAATTGTTGTAGAAGTCGAATCGAGTTCTGTAAACAAGGGATTTTCCAAGGGAAAATCGTTGAACTCACTTTTGTGATTGAATCATCAATTCAAGCCAAACATTAATCAAATAGGAACAATTTCACTCAAAGTATACCTAGACACAGGAGAACTATTGTCGTGAAAGTGTTGCACAGTCGATTACGAATTTAGATTGCAGAGAGTTTGTTCTGAGCGCTAAAGGCACTCACGATAGAGCATATTTTGCTTTATTCTAACAATCGCCAACATGATCCAGCTTTTGGGACGCAAGCAAATTTGGCAAAAATCAATCGCTATTATTCCCACTTGAAAAAATTCACCAAGTCCAAAACTACATTAACCTCTACTTCAGGATTACTTTAAGCAGAAGTTGGCAGCTGCTGAATCAAAGTTCCACAATATGAAGACAAAATAAAAGAGCTGCCAGTTCTAGAAATTGCAAGCATGCTTGTTTTTCAACTCCCTCTCCGACTCTGTTCTACAACCTGCAAGAATTGGCTAGTAGCCACCTGTTGTGCAAGGTCTATCCTGGTTCACCATACAACATATAGTCACCATACTTTCCATAGATCTACCGTATTCTATCTAGCTCACTATTTCTCATTCATCTACATTTGCATTGCATTAGGATTTAGTCATATCTGCTAGTACGACAGGTTATAAAGCACTTTGTAACGCTACTGTCTATCTGCGCCAACAAGCTACTACAACACCAATACTCCCTTGCCAGTGCAATACGAGTCTGCACTCATCAACTTCCCTTTTGCATTTCCCATCTCATTCACACATCGACTGTTGATTGTTTTGGAACATGTCCAAGCCCGACGACTTCAGTCCCTTGGAAGCGATTGAGTTCATCTTCGTCGACGATAAGCACCAGCCAGAACCAGTTTACAAAAATTGTTTTGGTAACACCTTGGAACTCCAGGCAGCAAAAGCTCTTTTCATCAACGATGATCCAGCGAAGGGAATTCGTCCTGACTCTGAACTCCTTCCGGCATTACAGCTGATTGTTGTGGACACCCTCATTGCTCCAAATGCACAGGACACTAATAAGGACGTGAAGACCATCCATCAACTCGTTGCCATTGCACCTCTCACTGTGTTGAACACCAAGACCGACAGAATGGTTCGTGTCAACACAAGATCGACTGCAACTGCAATGAGAGACACCATCGCCACTGGAGTAATGGGCCTTGGATTTAGATTTTTCCGGTTTTGTGCTATCGACTTTAAACACGCGTGCAAAACGTGGTTCGATAACTTCCCGCCTAAGGACGTGAAGACCATCCATCAACTCGTTGCCATTGCACCTCTCACTGTGTTGAACACCAAGACCAACAGAATGGTTCGTGTCAACACAAGATCGACTGCAACTGCAATGAGAGACACCATTGCCACTGGAGTAATGGGCCTTGGATTTAGTCATATCTGCTAGTAGTTCCCATCTACATTCATAGTAGTCCATGATCTCAACTAGTCAAATCTACTTGGGATACTCTCTCATGATGGGAAACTTTCTAGTTATTCGTGGAAGAAGAGCCCTGAGACCTATGTACAAACAACAAACAACAACAATACTTGCCACCCTGTATAAGGCTGATGACTTGTCAGGGGGAAGCAACAATGGAGAAGAGCAATTCGCTTCTGACGAGGTTGTCACCTGTTAAAGAAAACAGATTGGACAGATTTATACTAGTCGTGTAGCATGCAACACATTTTTGGGTGTTCCTGCCAAGCAACAAGACTTGAATAGCAACAGAGTGAACAAGATTTGAGGTATAACAAAGCAGTTGCCACTACATCATGATGAGTGCAAATTGAAAAGTATATGCTCAAAAATTGTAATGAAACAGACAGAACAATCACAGTCAATGTTGGGGACGAGACAGTACTGTATCAAATCTATTGGTGTGAGGCACAAACAAAGCAAACAACACTGATGGGGGAGTAGGATGGCATGCGGAGTTTGATCATTTCACATTTGATGATCCTACAGGTAACAACAATCATGATGATGCTGCTGATGGAGGCAATTCGTTGGTTTCTTGCCTGGGGGGCAGTGCCAGTGGTTGGCCAAAGTGACGGTCACCATAGCTTTTTCTTGGCAAAGTCGATATGCTGATGCTGTGTCAGCCAAGCTTGCTGCACATCGGGAGGCAGAAGAATTCCAGCATTATTCACTGCTGTGGAAATATTCTCGCTCCGATGATTCTTGAGTTTTTGCAGTAGCTCTTATCGCTTTTGTTCTTGAAGGACATACATTTCCACTAGGTCTTGCAGCCAGTGTATTCCGTAAGAAAAGGACAAGCTGTAGGCAAATGCTCCATCAAGATATCAGCAAGGCCGTAGACTTGTCGCTCTTCATCTTCGTTTCCAAATTTTCCAAACGCAAACGTAGTTGCAATATTGAGCCGTCAGCCTTCCCTCACCCTTCTTCTTCCTTCGACCCTTGCCAGCAGTGCCATTGTTCCTACCTGTAGACGATCCTGCCATCATAGTACTTCACCGCACCAAGCCCCCAACCTACAAGAGGCGAGGACAAGACACAACACAAAAAACTTTCCTAGTTACACACTGTATGTCACTCCGCGCAATGGAAATGAAAAACAGATGTGTAAAAAGCTAGATTGTGCGGAAGTGGATGGAGGAACCGGTCTCTGAGGAGTTTGGAAATGTCGCTACGGACTAGTGGTGGAGAGAGAAGATTGTTGAGTTGAGCAACTATGCTGCGAGCAATGGCATAGCTTTCAGCAACTTATTGTGGTGATGATGTTTTTTGTGTCTTGTTTGTTGTTGCAAGTTTTTTCAC